TGTATTTGAAAATATATTTTATTTTGTTCAAAAAGCACACAATTTATAGACAGTCAGTCAATATGGCATTTTATGAATTCCTACTTTAGAAATAAAACCAGTTTGACTCCAAACTAAAAGACAAACCTATTCTGAACAAGGTCTCACACCTAACATACATTGCTGACCTAAAATGTCTTTTCACTGATAAAACCTTTAGTTCTGTTAGGACTGTGACTTGAAAGGAATTCGGGGATTTACATATATGTATTAATCGATTTAAAACCTTCTAATTGATTAAAGATTTAACAGCATCTTAAGGTTGTTTAATACATCCTCAAAAATGGTGTAAACCTTTGATCTTTTACTTAAAAGTTCTGTGTCTGATAGTACCTCTCTCGCTAACACCTGAAGAAGGACTGAAGCTCTGAAAGCTTGTGTTTTCAAATAAACATTTTGGACTCTAACCTGGTGTCAGGTGATTTCTGACTTTGGCATCAGTCTGTGTCGCAGACCAGCCATCCTATCCAGCCAACTGAGCTAAGCAACCAACAAATTATTATTAATTTTGAACATATTATTTCTAATTATTTAATATTAAATATTATTTAATATCTAACCACTCCAGGTTTGGGTTTCGAATTGTGATGTTCTAAATAAACATCCTAGCCTCTGGTGGATATGTTACTATTGAACCACTTGATGGCAGCATTGGTGTACTTATGTCGGTTACCTTGTCGATGAGAAAATTGCATTTGAATTTTTTCACTGAGATCACATAGGTCACATTATATGATAATTTTCTTTTCTCCATGTTTCATACTATGTTGTATACAAAACAGAATAGCTAAGATATCAAATAAATGGTGATAAGGTGTTTTTGCATATTAACAAAATTAATTATAGTGAAGAATTCTGCCATGATAATTGGGTGATAAGCATGCAGGATAATATGATTAGTATGTTGCCAATTGTTGTAACAATTACTCTTTTCATGTGGTGGGAAATGTTGATGTTCTGGGCTTCTGCAGAATGATGTGGAATAAAATTGAATTAAAACTATTACCTTTACACGATCACTGTCGGACTATGTTAAGATAGATGACATCAGTTTGTTGCCATTACTGTTACCTTTTGCTGATCATGTGAAGCCAATAAACTTCTTTCTGCACTGGGCATTAAAGATTTGGCACCCATTGCCCATAGAGCATTCTTCCACACATTCCTGGCCACTCTGCTGACAGGTTTCTTGCCAAACGCTTCTAACTATTCCATTCTCTTTGTGTTCATATTCATTCTGAAGGCTATTTAAGTTCTTAGAAGTATTTTTCTTTTTTCTTACTTGTTCCTGTTATGATCATATTTTTATCTCTCTCCATGCTGATTTTGCTTTGAGAAATTGGTCTACAGCTGCAGCCTCTGAGAAATGACTTTCTCCTTCTCCACATATTTAGCACAGCCCACAAAAATGTTTCAGAATTTTCTTTCAGAAATCATGCCTTTTCCAGCCCAGCAAAACGGAGATGAGTTGTTCCTCTGATTTCTGGTAGAGTCAGTGTCATGACTGCCCAATGGCTGAACTCTGCTGCAGGCCTTTTGAATAAAGGACCAAGGATCTTGTAATAATAGATTCTATTTTTGCTATTTAATCTTGTAGCATAAAGGAATTTCTTTAGGATTAGTTATAGATTTCTTGATAACTTATAAAACCATACGTGCTCTTTTATCATTTACTACACAGATAGTTATTTAACTACATCAAATATGGGTATTTCCATGGGTTTATGAGTCTAGTTCAATTTCTGAATGAGAAAGCAAGAATGAGGAGGAAAATAAAATTGTAAATTGAATTACCTAAAATGAATTTTCAGTGGCTACATTGGGTTTCTGAAGGAGACTGTATCCTCTTACTGTCATATTTATAGGTCACTTCCAGCACAAGGATAACCAGCAAGCATGGTAAGTGATCATAAGGTTTCCTAAACAGACGGTCCTCCATTTAACACCCCAGTGGCCTCAAATGGTGCTACACTCCTTCACTACAACACTGGATACTGGAATGTCAGTTTAGCTAATAAGGTCATGTTTCAAGTGAGGATTTCACGCCCTTCCAACTGAGAGGTGAGAATGCTGCCACTGAATCATGGCTGGCATTTAAACTGCAGTAAATTAGAGGATACAAATTTGCACAGATAGTGATTTCGATAATGTTCTTCATTCTGCTTGATCTTCCACTGGCTGACGTACTTCGTAAAACCTTAGATTCAGAGCCATCAGTTGCTCACATAAACAAGCTGAGCATCATACCTTTGGGAGTAGCACACACTGCCTGTAACTTACTTGTGTCATAGCAGGATCTGAAATGTAAAAACAAAACCCTTTTGTGCCTTGAGCCAGATTTGTGTCCTTTGCACATGCATTTCAGACTACCTACAGGGAGATTGATGAAGCAGGACTGCATTTGAATTGTTGAACTGCATTGTCATGTTGTGAGGCCCATGTACAGAGCAAACGTTTGAGGATTCACTTAGTTCATTGAATGTAACTTTTCCTCATCTGCTGATGCAATGTACGATCTTGCTATGCTAGCCAGATTAGTAGGCCATCTGACTTGATTTATACAAAAGATCTGCTAACTTTGTTTCTAATTCTTTTTATCTTGCTGCCTTCATTAAGACTGTCAAAGCTTTTGTTTTCATAAAGCTGACTGCCCTTATAGTTGTTTCAGAGATAGTAGAAACTGCAGATGCTGGAGAATCTGCGATAACAAGGTGTAGAGCTGGATGAACACAGCAGGCCAAGCTAGGTCAAGAAGGGTCTAGGCCCGAAACGTCAGCCTTCCTGCTCCTCTGATGCTGCTTGGCCTGCTGTGTTC